TATTACCAAAGGTAAATGTTTATGTTCACAACTTCTCTGACTAATTGGCACTGTAGACATCCTTTGCAAGTATAATATTAGGAATAGAACTTCAGATGGTAAAAGAAATACAAAAAAATTACACCTTTTCCGAAGATCGAATATGTTATTTACTGTCAATATCAGTGGTCTGAGGAAGTAATTCTTAGGAGATTTTTGACTCCCTGATGGTTTGACTTTAACAAGGGTAATATGGAAAGACAATTCTTGGAGTTAGTTTAACTCCTAGCTGACCTGGTGGAAGAGTAAACAGGTGAGGAAACTGAGCAAACTGGCTCTTTGTTTGCAGACACAATTATAAAGACTCTTGGGGACCATCGTGTGTCCTTGCTCTTTTCCCTCCCTGTTAAGGAAGAATAAACAACACCAATATCACTGCAGAAGCTAAGAGAATTCATAGCAGCCCCAAGAAGCTGAGAAACTGACATTTCTAAACAAAAAATTAATCCTATATTCCCTATAGTTGGCAGTAACATCTATAAAATGGATCTCTCCCACCATACCGTAAACCAAATATTAGCTGCTAGCTCACAGCTAGTTGTGGGTTTAAAAGAAATTTCCTCACCCAAGTATGGGAAAGAAAGAAAAGCAACTAGGTAGACACTTTTTCCACTTGCCTTCACATTACTTTTATAGTCTGCAGTGAAGTTCTACTGATAAAAAATAATTTCATCCTTAATGAGTTTGTTTGGACACCTTTGTGGAATTTGTAGTATAAGTCTTTAGATTTACAAAAGTGACAAAGATGTTAGGCCTTTGAAGAAAATGATGAGAGTACAGCTTATAAAGCAGAGAATTAATAACCTCTGGCTTCTCAATCTTTGGCTGAAAGCCATTTGCTCTTTTCTTCTGAAGATCCCAACAAGCAAAGAAAAAAATGCTTCATGCAAAACCTGCTCTTTCAGCTTCTGCCCAATTTTTATTCTTTTGGCTCTTTGCTTTGTCTCTCTCTCCTTTTTCTGTTTTTTTTTTTTTTTTTTTTTTTTTTTCAGATTTTCTAGATCCCCTGCAGGCTGACCTGTTTCTTCTTTTCCAATGCTTAGGCTTCCAGAATCCTAGTAAATCTTGCTCTCTGTATTTCTCTGCCAGCCTCTTTGATACTTCCTTCGTACAGACTATATTCATTCACAAAATGTTTTGACTTTACTGTTTGCTTTATGAATTTATTAGCATATTGCTTTCTTTGCCTTTGGCTACTGCCAATAGCTGACCTAATACTATTTAATTATTTTGAGAATTCTATGGCTTTTAAAAACTTACATATTTTCCTACTTACACTTTTCAAAAACAGCTTAAAATTTAAAATTGAAGATTAAGGTTAAGCGTTGGCCACTCTGCTATAGAATTTCTAGAAGCTTTCTTGCTAGGTGAATTTTGGTATACTATTGCAGTCATAAATCATGAGGTTTTAGTAAAATATATATACTTTTAAAAGAAGAAATATTATGTAATAGATATCACATTCTGTATTTAATTCACTTCATTATTTAAATATAGAGAAGAAAAAATCTCAAGGACATCTTGAAAATATTTTAAGGCTTCTTATATATACTTGGTCTCTTATTTTAGAGATGTTCGGAAGTTAGAATGATTTCTGACAATTGTATAAAGAGATTGAAAATTCAAAAATGAAAGCTTAAAGGTATTACAATAACTAATGAAACAGAAAAAGGATAGGAATGTAAGATGCAAATGACGATTTTTTAAAATTTTATTTTAAGTTCTAAGATACATGGGAAGGACATGCAGATTTGTTACATAGTTAAATGTGTGCCATTCTTGTTTGCTGCACCTATCAACCCATCCCTAGGTATTAAGCTCCATATGCTATTTACCCTAATGCCCTCCCTCTCCCCACCCCCGTGACAGCCCCCAGTGTTTATTGTTCCCCACCATGTGTCCATTTGTTCTCGTTCAGCTCCCACTTATAAGTGAGAACATACGGTGTTTGGTTTTCTGTTCCTGTATTAGTTTGCTGAGGATAATGGCTTCCAGCTCCATCCATGTCCCCGCAAAGGACACGATCTCGTTCCTTTTTATGGCTGCATAGTAGTGAATGATAATTTTTTTTGAAAGACCTGTGGAATGTCAAAGAGACATAAGGACTTTTGCAGAGGTTATTTAATCATGTAGAGCCAATAACAGAACACATTTGGCTATAGTGGAAATATATTGACAGTTTTACATTCTCCAGAATTATACGTAGTTTACCAAGGCAGCCAAATCTTTGGTGTCAATGACGACACAGAGAACATACATACATATGCAATCTTTTGGGATTTTCTGTAAACTATACATCTGTAACCATAATGCTGCTGAAGGACTGTGTTAAGGAAAACCGAGTCCACAAGGCGCGGGTTTCTAAGGCAGGAATTTTCCAATGCCATGCCTCCATCCATGTAAAATTCTTGGACTTTCCTGAGCTAGCTATGTAGAAATTCCAGGTGTGCTTCTTTGTTCAAAAAGCCAGGAAAGGCCAGGCGCGGTGTCTCACGCCTGCAATCCCAGCACTTTGGGAGGCCGAGGAGGGCGGATCATGAGGTCAAGAGATCAAGACCCTCCTGGCCAACGTGGTGAAACTCCATCTCTACTAAAATATAAAAATTAGCTGGGCGTGGTGGTGGGCCTGTAGTCCCAGCTACCCGGGAGGCTGAGGCAGGCGAATTGCTTGAACCCGGGAGCCGAGATCCCCCACTGCAGTCCAGGCCTGGCGCCTGGAGACAGAGCAAGATTCTGTAAAAAAAAAAAAAAAAAAAAAAAAAAAAAAAAAAAAAAAAAGCCCCGAAAAGCTCTGGGAGGAAGGGCCTCCTTTGCGGACTTAGGAGCCAATCCTGTATGGAAGTCAAAGATCCATCACCCCAGCGGAAGTTTGAAAGAGCTCCTCTCACTGGACAAGAACGTGAATGAGGCAGGAGTAACTGCCAGGTAAAATCCCTCTGCGCCTTCCTTGTGCAGATGCCTTCCGTGGATCTCTTCCTGTGGCCGCAGTGGGAGCTTTCTCTCCTCTCTCCTCTCTCTCCTCTCTCTTTCTCTCTGCGTTTCATAAATCACTTCTCTGCTAAACTCTTTGGGTCCGTGATATTTATTGCAATGGTTAGCTCATGGCGCCTCCAGGACTGCTTCTCCCATTCTTGGGATGAGAGAAGTCAAGGACCTGGGCACATCTGGGAAAACATGGGAGAAAACTGGAAGCTCTTTGGGACGCCCCCGCAGCTCTGCTCCTGTCCTCCATTACATCTTTGGGTAGCATGGGGAGGGAGCTGAGCCACTGCACCCTGCCGGGGTGACAATGCCACAGTATAATCCCAAAAATTACGTCCAGCAACAACAGATTAGGTGATATAACCACAAGGAAGGAGGGGATAATAATTAAGAAGGCTTTGTCCTGAGATTCTGAGAAATAGGAACTCATGATGTACCAGTGTGTGAGCATATACAATCAATTTGACAGTACATTATAATATACGGGTTTCAGGGGCAGGCGGTGGTAGGAGAAGAAGAAAGTGAGAACTAACAGTTAGATTGTTCTTACAATTATAATCTGATTTGACTCAGCAGCTGAGCCACTGCGCCCTGCCGGGGTTACGATGCTACAGTATAATCCTAAAAATTATACGTCCAGCAACAACAGATTAGGTGATTATCACCACAGGGAAGGAGTTCCCTGTGGAACTCGTTTAGTTCAAATTTACCATCAACTTCTTGTTAAAGATAGAGAATGAATGGAAAAGAAATGTTTCTAATGAAAAGGATAACAGTAAAGAGATATTTGTGCTTAATTGATTGCCCTTTGCCAAAGTATAAACCAAATGCTTGAAGATGACAAGGAAATGGTTTTTGTTTTTTGTTTTTTTTTTTTGAAAAAAGTAGATCTAGTAGAAGAAATAGTTATGAGAGTTTTATTAGTAAAAGTGGTCATCAGGATACTGAGAACTCTGAGATACTGAACTTCTGGGAACAGAAGTTACAGAAATGCTTGGCTACATAAGTCTCCGTAATTACTAGTTTTGCACACTAGACCACGTTAAAAGCCAATTGTAGTTTTCCTTATTAATTTTTTTCATTTTTGTTTAATGGGTTACTTGGACAACGTTTTACTGATAAAAATGAGTGTTTTATGTTTTAAATATATTGCTCCATTAAAAAGTATCTCTATCTTCAACAGAAATATTTGACCTTACATTATTTCTGGAAAAAATATACCTTGGCAAAATCAAAACTTAAAAATTGCACCAAAGCATATAGCATTTAAAAAATTTTTCATGATGCTTTACAGAGGATAAATCTAGATAAAAATGGGTTCTTATTAAAATTATAATAGATTTGGAATAGACATTTGGATGGTAATATATAAATGTATTTCTTGTACTTACAAATGTCTTTCTTTTATTGATGAGCCCAAATTACCTAAGGTTATTGACACCAAAAATTTTTATTAAAGTTTTATTGTTTTAGACTTTTAGTTTATACAAATTATCCTCAAGAAAGTCAGAAGAAATACACTGAACCATTAAACTTACCCCTGAGAACAACAACAACAAAAAGGTATCATGATGCTTTTCTAAGAGTGTGATTCAAGTCCAAGGAAAATAGTTTCTGTTTCTGTTCACTGAATATTGTGAAAGTAATGAATATGATCTTAACTTTATTCTGTCTGTTAGTTATCAAAAGATAAGTTTACTACTTATCCCTTTCTGAAAACTTAATTTTTACTTCCTATTTACTTTTTGGTTAGTTTGTAACAAACTTAGTTGAAACAAGTAAATATTTCAAAAACTTTAAAATAGACCTTGGTGAACAGCCAATGAGCAGTGTAGGTATCAGACCGTAAAACTGAAAACTAATGTGGATATATGCTATCGTTCTAATGACTTCTTTTTCTCTTTCAATAATTGCCCTTTTTGGGAGCATATGGTTCTTTTTTTTTTTTTTTTTTTTTTTTTTTTTTTTTTTTTTTTTTACTTTATTAAAATACTGAGTTTTATTTCACATGTATATTTTTGTCTCCCCACCATTTCCATGTCTGACCACCACTACTGTGTCCTATCATAACATTCCATACATACTTAAAACCAAGCAAAGGGTGGAGTTCCATCTTTAAAAACTACAGGCATTTTGGACAACACATTCTTGGCAATGGTATCTGTACAACATTTATCAAACACGGTAGGGAAAATTCTCACTCTGCATTATAAAAAGGACAGCCAGATAGCAACTGTTACAGAAATGAAATAAGACGGAAAATTTTTAACAAATTGTTTAAACTATTTTCTTAAAGAGACTTCCTCCACTGCCAGAGATCTTGAATAGCCTCCTGGTCAGTCATCCGGAAGCAATTCTTCACATAATTGATGAACTTGGCTTCCATTTTTCTATACTTGCTTGCATTTTTGCTTTAATGTCCTCTACAGAACTAGGTCCTTTTGGTGTTTTAGGAGTTTTTTCCTGTTTTTTGAAGGATTCTTGTCCTTTTGATCTTGGTGTTGATGATGGTTTTGAGTCTTTTCCATTCTGATTTGACTTTTGTGCATTTTTGGCTGGAGTATCGCGTATAGATTTCTTCACTGGCACTTTTTCTTCAGTTTCCTCATCATCGAAATCATCATCATCATCATCTTCATCATCATCATCATCATCTTCATCATCTTCATCTTCATCAGCAGCAAGTTTTACTTTTTTCTGTGGAACCTTGCTACCACCTCCAGGGGCAGATCGCTTTCCAGACATACTTAAGTTGGGGGCTTTGAAATAACACCACCAGTGGTCTTACGATTAAAGTGTGGTTCAGGGCCAGTGCATATCAGTGGACAGCACTTAGTAGCTGTGGAGGAAGATGCAGAGTCAGAAGATGAGGAGGAGGAGGATGTGAAACTCTTAAGTATGTCTGGAGCATATGGTTCTTAACAGGTAAAAGAGTAGGAAAATTTTTAGGTGAAACCACTTACAAACTCTGCCTAAATTGCTTGAGAGAACTACACTTACATACAGAAGTCATAGAAGTAAGCCTAACTGTTTGACTGGAAGGGTGTGTAACCAAGCCACTCACTTAACCTTACTGGGTCTCAGTAAAGTCTTCATCGGCCAAGTAATTTACTCATGGTATTATTCTTATTGCTAACTAAGAAGGTATATATAAATAAATAGCCTTTGATAAAAGTAATGGCGTTCAGAGTAAAGGAGATATTATTTTAAATTAACAAAAATTTATCTTATTTTCTTCTCCATGAAGAAAGCTCTCACAAATAATGTATTATGTTGGCTAGAATCTTTAATTTGGGCAAATGAAATTTTTTAGAAAATATGGGCTCTACGAATGCCAGTGCTTACAGAGAAAAGTTTACATAATTCTTAAGATATTTTCTGTTTTTCTTCATATTTTTTTACTCACTTATTAGACTGTAATGTCCTTGACAGTAGAAAATATTTCTTCAGTGATGTGTTTAGGCCAAATTAAGTGAGAGCTTTCACGGTAAACCTTATCACATAATGTAAGTAAGTAAAAAAATTTTTAAATTGAAAAATTATTCAACCAAACAGTATTAAAGAAAGGAATGGCGTATACTAATCTTGTCAGTTCAGGACCATAAAGTGTAACTGCTGTGTGCCTATGCCTCCACCTCCATGTATCTTGATAAACTGATGTCAGACATAGTATATCCTGTACCTAGCTGCTTGTCTGGCAAATATAATGCTCTATAATTCAGGCGTCCCCAAACTTTTTACACAGGAGGCCAGTTCACTGTTCCTCAGACCATTGGAGGGCCGCCACATATTGTGCTCCTCTCACTGACCACCAATGAAAGATGTGCCCCTTCCTGAAGTGCGGCAGGGGGCCGGAAAAATGGCCTCAGGAAGCTGCATGTGGCCCACGGGCCACAGTTTGGGGACGCCTCCTATAATTATTTATTAAGTGAATTGGGATGTTTTGACTTAGGTTTGGTCTTATTATTAAATACAAGTTTAAAAGTTTGAACCTTGTGGTCTGTTTTCCCTTCATCAAAATTCCCTTTATAGTTGATTTTTATATTTGATGGTAGACAAGTGGGGCAAAGGAAAGATACCCTTCTAGAATTTTAAAAGCTACAAGAGCAGAGTGATTACCTAGATTACCTAGATGGGAGTAAAAAATTTATCAAATTTTTCAGCAGGGACAGTAAAGACTGAAAAAAGAATGAAGATATATAGTCAATATGTTTAGGAAAAATGGCAATCACCCTCTAATAATATGTCCAGCTAAACTATTATATGAGAGTGAAAGTTAAATGAAGTTATTTTTCAGACTTGTAAATAGTAAAAAAGTATACCATCTCTAGACCTTCACAGAATGTTTAAGGATTATTTAGCATCAGGGTGGGAAAAGAAAATTCAGAGGCAAGGTATATAATAAAGTAATACACAATCACCCAAAATGATTAACTGTTACTTAAATTTAAGTAAATGATAATACAATACTCCATGTTATGCCTAAAAATAGCACAAATTTATCAAAAATGATTCAATGAAACAAGAAATAAAAGTTGTTGCAAGAATACAATACTTTAGTTGCCAAAGTAGCAAGATAGTACTGTAAGTTGGTGTTTAAGTGTGTTTTCATATGTTATAAAACATATGGAAGGCAAAGAGGAAGCAAGGTACCTTCTTCACCAGGCGGCAGGAAGGAGAATTGCTATGTGAAGGGGTAAGAGCCCTTTATAAAAGCATCAATTCTGTGAGAACTTACTCACTCTTGTGAGAACAGCATGAAGGAAACTGCCACCTATGATTCAGTTACCTCTGCCTGGTCTCTGCCTTGACATGCGGTTATTATGGGGATTACAGGATTACAATTCAAGGTGAGATTTGGGTGGGGGCACAAAGCCTAACCATATCAGTTAGTTATTAGAACATACACCTAACACTTATAAGGAATATTTTTCCCAAATACTATGCAACATTTATAATAATTGACTACATATTAGTTTGCAAAAAAGTGTTTTCATAACTATCTGTATACTCTCATCAGAAAGAAAAGTGAAATCAGGATTTATCGATAAAAGATGATTTTATAGCAAACAAAACTATATGTTTGGGGACAAACTGCACTTTTTAGTAGCTTTTTGTTTACAACTCAATGAAAATTTAAAAGCATTTGGAGCTGAACTTAAAGGTAATTGCTATATGACAAAATATGTGGGTTACAGCAAAGAAAGGACATGAAAGAGTGAAGATATATGTTACATATGCCATTTAAGAAGCTGGGGAAAAGCAACAGAATAAGCCTAAGGAAAGTAGCTTAAAGGAAATAATAAAAGTAATAGTAGATATTAGCAAAGCAAAAAACAGAAATACAGAGTTAAACAGGAACAAAAACTGTTGTATAAGAGCAATCTATGAAAAGGAAAACTAAACAAAAACATACTAAACCGTAAAAAGACTAATTGAGGTACAAAAATAGAACATAAAGACAAGGGATATAATTACAGGTACAGGAGAGGTTAAAAAATAATGAGAGTACTATGAATATTTAAAAACCTAGGCAAAATTGATATTTTGTAGAAAAACGTTACAAAAATTGATTGAAGAATACATGAAATGTCAATAAATCAACATTGAAGAAATGAATTATTAATCAAATCCCTCTTCTCAAGCCTATTTATTGTCTGTCTATCATCTTGCTAGCTAACTAGCTATCTTCCTAGCTGTCTTAATACCAAACTGTGATACAAAATATTTTTTGCCAGTTATTCTAAGAACAGAGAATCCTTATCTTACATAACAATCCTTTATAAAATAGAGAATGTAGACAAATATAATCTTCATATAAAATAAAACAAAGACCAGAAAAAATATAATACAGTCTAAAATTGGTATAGCCATTTTAGAGAGAAAATACTCCAAACAACCTAAATATTATTTTACTAAGTACAGAGCACAGAGAAATCTACACAAGTGAAGAAAGAGGTGTGATAAAAATGTTCATTGTAGAGTAGTTTGTAAGAAAAATTGAGAACCAGAATGTTTATCAGTAGTAGAAGAAATAAACAGCAGCATGTTTGTAAAATGGGAAATGACAGCCATTCATACAAATGAACTAGAGCTACACTTACCAACAAAGAAAAAACAAATAAGTTGCAAGAAAGTTTCAACATGCTGCTATTTAGATTATTATATTTGTTACCATATAAGCACTATATATTTTCTGTAGATACATAAACATTCAGTAAACAAATAAAATATTCATGAAAATGATAAATGAGAGAACTATGATAGTAGCTACTTCAGAGAAAGACAGAAAGAGATCAGAGTAATACACAGAGGGTTCACTCTGTGTTTTATATCTTAAAAATAAGCTGAAGTACACTGAAATCTTAAAATTTAATAAAACTGGATATTTAGTAAACATATATGTATTATGTTATTTTCTACTTTTGTAACATATTTGAACTGTTTTATAATTTGAAAACAAAGCAAAATAGATTCTTTCTTTCAGCAAATCCCAAATTCAAGAGGTTCCTTTAAAAAGTATGTTCCTAGACTTGTTCTAGAACACCAATCTTAAAAATGGCAAAGGAGAGGATTTTAAAAATAGCATAATGCCCTTGCCAAAATTGTAATGAAACTTCCACATTTTAAGATTTTTGAGTCACGAACTTTGTATGAGTAGTATAAGATATTGGAGCTGATTTTCAAATAATGCAAGATATGGGTGAAAAATGCCTCAGATTGCTAACTAAAGGCCAGGACCAGCATTGTGGGTCTGAATTCTTTTGCATCTTCCTTTATTAAGCTGCTTTCTATTTTAAAGGGAAGTAATAACTGGGAATATATTTAATTGCACTTTTTTAAAAATTAAAATTATTATTGCTTTTGTTGGTGCTCTGATTACAAAGTTGCATGGATTTTCAGTTGTTTCTTCCAGCCCTGTTTTCCCCATAAGCCCTGTTTTTTTTAGAGTCTCATTTGCACAGACTGCTATCTCGAAGAATGCAAGACATTTCACACAAATGCATACACAGGCACACATACAGCATTAAACGTGAAAAGCTTGCATTTGTAAAGAATAAGTATGTTTATGTAAAAATTTAGAAAATCTATAAACAAATATTTATATAAATTATAAACTTTCAAAAGATATATAGGCTTGTGATAGTGGCAGTTTCTGAAAATAGAGAAAGGCAATCTAAAGATCATTGAGTGTTTCAATTTCTCCCATAAAATTTTATGTTTTTCTACAATAGAACACTTGGAGATAGATATGAAAGAATTTGGGGTGCAGCAATGTGTGTTTGTTATATTTGTACTTCTATATATGTTTTAAATTCTCAAAATTAAAAAAAGAAAAGTAAGCTACGTTAATGTTTTTGTTGCTATGTAAATATTATTTGCTTGCAGAACCAGGTAATGTATTATGAATTTAATTTCTTATTTATATTTTTCTTAGTTTTAATTGCCTTTATTTTTCCTTATCCTATTTGTGCTTATTCTATCCTGTGATTATCCATATATCTCTCTATTAAGTTAGGAATCCTAACCAGAACACTTTTCTCCTGGGCTCCCAGTCCCTTCTGCTACAACCAACAGTATAGGACTGTCACATAGCTCCTATTTGCTTTCCTCACTGCTTTTCTGGTTGGTTTTTAGTTTTAGTTTTTTCTTTTTCTGGGTTTCACATCTTTGGAATTTTCAGTCCAGTTTTTTTTTTTTTTTTTTTTTTTTTAAAGTTAAAAGGTGCATGTGCAGTTTGTTACA